CCCCAAAACCCCAAAACCCCAAAACCCCAAAACCCCAAAACCCCAAAGACATAAATAAGAGTTCAGTAAATTATAAAGCATTTAAAATGAAAATAGCTGGGTATATAATCTAATCTGAGATATTGTCTCGAGACTCTCATTATACTTATCATTTATGCTACAATGTAACTAACCCAAGCATCCCATATACATGCAAAATCTTTGAAAAGAAGTCCCTATCTGCAGATTAATACATCAAACTTGCTAAGTTCATGCTGGCTAAATAAAATAAAAGTAGCTTGCACTCACGAAAATAACTGGAAGATCATGAGATATTTGAACATGGCTCAACGATTTATGAGTTCTAAAAGTTTGAGGGAGGGATGAGTCTAGGCTAGATATTGGACCATAGAGGGGCTTTAGATGAATGTGAAATTAGAGATATAATGGAGAAGCTAAGTTATATACTCTGATTACTCTACAATCAAAGGACTTACCCTGAGACTTTTGATCTAGATTTTATTAATATCCAACTTATTGATTTTGACATTAAGATAGATAAGTAGCTTTCAAAGAAAAAAAGGAACTTACTTATGAGACTCTACTTAGAAAAAAATAAGATTAAGTCTGATAAGATCGTTTCAATTTTCGTACAAAATGTAGTTAATCCTAGTGTAAATTCTACATTAAATGATAACTCAAGGCAAAATTAGGGTAATTTAAGTGTAGATATTCCAATATCCTCGTTGATGTAAAGGTACTTATGTGATGTAAGGTATCTGGGCGTAATATTCTTTCAGTTGCTTACTGGAATCAATCCTATATCATATTTGTAAAGCATCTAAGATGGAGTCAACCCCAAGATAAGATTCAACTGCAATACTAATAATATTCTTGTTTCTGCTTCTGGCTTAAAATTTATGAGGGACTGTCTGATATTTAATCCTGAGAAGAAAAATGGGAAGGGTAGTATGCAATCTATAATACTAAATCATGAATTTTTTGGTAAATCCAGCTCTGAAAATCAAAATGCTTAACTCTATCGCCAAAATTCAGCACTTTCTAAGATTTCATTTCAAAAGTTGCTTAAGCTTTTCAAGAAATATTTCAGGATTGGTTAAAAGCTTAAGATGGAAATTTCTGACTTTGACGACTAAGGCTCTTTACCAAATTCAGTTGATCGTAAAATTACACCAAATAAGTCAAAAAGTTAAGAACCTTCTCTATTTAATATCTCTACTGAAGATGATGTGGACAAAGCAAAGGAAGTTAATTCTGATGAGTTGAATTAGAATAATAATCAGAATTAATTAGATAATGGAACTAAAAGAAGTTCAGAATTATAAGCTGATGAACGCAGTCTAATCATAAATTACTGCAAATTATAAATGTATTTGAAAAATCCTACTTCTCTGATGATTTAGAATGCCTATTTAAAGATGATGATTGCTAGATAATCTCAATAAAAGTATAGAACTCTCACAGAACCAATTAGAATCATTGATTATAAGCCTCTTTTACTGATTAATAGCACCAATATTGTGAATCAAGGCTTTGTCAAGATGATTCCCAAAGCTTTTGAAAGATATTTCCTATAAAATTAGATTTATAATTTGTGAATTAATAATAGTCAGACTTATAATAAGCTTAGATTTAAAGCTATTTTTATGCTGCGGGGTTTTGGGGTTTTGGGGGTTTGG